GCTAAGTAAGGACTACTTTTATATTAAATTTAAATCCACCATCCTGCAAATGACACAGTGGGCTTCTGGACTTCATGACGCAAGTGACATAACTTAGAGCCCATGATGTTAAAACCATGTCACTTGCCTCCTGCAATCAGGATTCAAATTTTATTATTCGCTATAAAGATATGCAGATGATACTACTTTAATGGCAGAAGGTGAAGAGGAACTAAAGAGCCTCTTGATGTGGGTGAAGAAGGAGAGTGCAAAAGTTGGCTTGAAACTCAACATTAAGAAAACCAAGATCATGGCATCCGGCCCTCTCAATTCCTGGTAAATAGATGGGGAAGAAATGGAGGTAGTGACAGATTTTATCTTCCTGGGCTCCAAGATCACCTCAGATGGGGACTGCAGCCAAGAAATTAAGACGCCTGCTTCTGGGGAGGAAAACTATGGCAAATCTAGACAGCATACGAAAAAGCAGAGACATCACCCTGCCAACAAAAGTACACATACTCATGGCCATGGTTTTCTCAGTTGCAATGTAGGGCTGTGAAAGTTGGACCATAAGAAAGGCTGAGCGCCAAAGAATGGAGGCCTTTGAACTCTGGTGCTGGAGAAGACTCCTGCGAGTCCCTTGGACTGCAAGGCGATCCAACCGGTCAGTCCTAGAAGAGATCAACCCTGACTGCTCTTTAGAAGGCCAGATCCTGAAGTGGAAACTCAAGTACTTTGGCCACCTAATGAGAAGGAAGGACTCCCTGGAGAAGAGCCTGATGCTGGGAAAGATGGAGGGCAAGAGAAGAAGAAGGGGACGACAGAGAAGGAGGTGGCTGGATGGAGTCCCTGAAGCAGCAGGTGTGAGCTTAAATGGACTCCAGAAGATGGTAGAGGACAGGAAGGCCTGGAGGAACGTGGTCCATGGGGTCGCGATGGGTGAGACACGACTTCGCAACTAACAACATCATCATATAGGAATGAGGTAAGTTAAATGGCCTCATCCAGGCTGATAATAAGTTTAAGTAAGTTTAAGTTTAAGGTTTAGGTTTAGGTTTATTTTAGGTTTTGGTTTGGTTTGGTTTAGTTTAGTATTTTATTCATTTTAAAAAAAAAAATTTCCATTTATTTATTTGTAAAATTTATTCCAGTTATTTATTATAAAATTTATTCCAGTTATTTATTTTCTTATTTATTTATAAAATTTATTTGTTATTTATTTATTATAAAATTTTATTCCTGTTATTTATTTATTTATAAAATTTATTCCAGTTATTTATTTACTTATTTATAAAATTTATTTATTTTAGTTATTATAAAATTTTATTCCTGTTATTTATTTATAGAACTTATTCCAGTTATTTATTTACTTACTTATTTATAAGATTTATTTGTTATTTATTTATTATAAAATTTATTCCTGTTATTTATTTATAAAATTTATTCCAGTTATTCCAGGGAGATGCTGGAATAAAAAAATAAGATATATTAGTGTGAGGATATTGAATTTAGTAGCTGGAACAGTAAAGTGTACAATGGGCCGGAACACACAGCTGTAGTCAATTGGTTGGAGAATGCCGTGCATAAAGCAATCTGCACTGTGATTGGTTACTGGATGTAAAGGGGGTGTTTCCCTTTTTTCCCGCCTTTTTTCTCCTGTGTGCTCTGTATGTGGTTTAGATTTACCTCATGATGTTCCTGACTCTCTTGTTTGCTGAAAATATAAATGTAAAATAGATATATTTACATAAAACTACAAGTTCACGTCAGCTTCTCTGACTTCATTTGGACACCGGCTGCGCAATTCCCTCACCATTAGACTGAAATCTGCTAAATGGGAGGTGTGATAATTGGACACCTCACCGCGATTACATTTAATTTTAATAACGTCTGAATGCAAATGAACTGAAAATTAGGGTTTTTCTGCCGCAACTCTTTTGTTTTGCTCTGGGAAAATCAGCTACTCTTTTCCATTCTCACCGTTCCCGATCCGCGAAGACAAACTTCCTCAGTTTGATGTCCCGAAGGACGATGCCGTGCTGGTGGCAGTGGGCGACGGCTTCGGCCATTTGTCGGAAAAGGGCGACGGCCTCCAATTCCGGCACACGCTTGCGCCGCCTCACCAGGTCATGCATGTTGTCCTTCCCGGGCTCAAAAAAGACGTAAACGTTCTGGTCCCCCACAATGACCTCGGCCACCCGGGCAATGTTGGGGTGCGAGGGGAGAGCACCGTATGGCGCCATCACCTCCGGGTAGCTCTTTGCCGGATAAACCTGAAAGGAAAGAGGACGACGTGAGGGGGGAAAAAAGAGCAAGCTGCAGAATTATCTTGAGGTAAGATGGGCGGCCTATACATTTGAGAGGGAGGGAGGGAGAGAGAGATAACAGGGGTACGTAGATATAGACAGACAGATAGATAAATGATAGATGATAGAGGGAGATAGAGATGATAGATGATAGAGGGGGGTACGGAGAGAGAGAGATGATAGACAGAGGGGGTAGGTAGGTAGGTAGGTAGGTAGGTAGGTAGGTAGGTAGGTAGGTAGATAGATAGATAGATAGATAGATAGATAGATAGATAGATAGATAGATAGATAGATAGATAGATAGATAGATGATAGATAGATAGATAGATAGATAGATAGATAGATAGAGAGAGAGAGAGAGAGAGAGAGAGAGGCAGGCAGGCAGGCAGGCAGGCAGGCAGATATTAGAGACAGACAGATAATAAGAGATGAGAGATAGAGATGAGGGACAGACAGAGAGAGAGAGAGAGGCAGGCAGGCAGGCAGGCAGGCAGGCAGATATTAGAGACAGACAGACAGATAATAAGAGATGAGAGATAGAGATGAGGGACAGACAGACAGACAGACAGATAGATAGACAGACAGATAATAGAGATGAGAGACAGAGATGAGGGATAGATAGATAGATAGATGATAGATAATATAATAATAATAATAATAATAATAATAATAATAATAATAATAATAATAATAATAATAATAATAATAATAATAATAATAATAATAATAATAAAAGTTGGAAGGGACCTCGGAGGTCATCTAGTCTAACCTCCTGCTCAGGCAGGAAACCCTATACCATTTTGGACAAATGGCTGTCCAGTTTCTTCTTAAAAACTTCCAGTGTTAGATAGATAGATAGATAGATGGAGTACATAGAGATGATAGAGGGGGATAGATGATAGATAGATAGATAGATAGATAGATAGATAGATAGATAGATAGATAGAGAGAGAGAGAGAGAGAGAGAGAGAGGGAGGGAGGGAGGGAGGGAGGGAGGGAGTAGATAAGAGATGATAGATGATAGACAGACGGGTACATAGAGAGAGAGAGATGATAGATAGATAGATAGATAGATAGACAGACAGACAGACAGACAGACAGGCAGACAGACCTAGTTTTTTCTATGTGACCATTGGTTCATCCATGCAAGGATGTTGTTCCCCATTTGTCACATTTGACAGCTGCCTTGTGAATTATCGACAGGTCATTGTTTCTGACAGTGCCTCCTGTGCGCTACGCCTTTCCTTATTGTACTCCTCAGCTTATGACTATTCGCTTAATGACCGTTCAAAGTCATGGCAGCACTGAAAAAAAGTGACTTGGGATCGGTCCTCCTCACACTTGTAACCGTTGGTTTAGCGGCCAAAGTTATGAGAGCACCAAAAAAAAGTGATGTAGGACCAGTCCTTACACTTACGACCGTGGGTTTAGTGACCCTTTCGAAGTTACCCTAGCGCTGGAAAAAGCGACTTATGATGGGTCCAAGGTTGTTGGCTGGGGAATTCTGGGAGTTGAAATCCACCCATTTTAACATGGCCGAGGTTGAGAAAAGCTATTTAATCTGCAAGTCGCTAAACCTTACACATTCATTCTCTTCCTGGGTCTGTTTATGATTGCTTGGGATTCTGGGAATTGAAGTCCGTGCATCTTAAAAGGGCCAAGCTTGAGAGTCTAGACCAGCCTGGCTGAGGAATTCTGGGAGTTGAAGTCCACAACATAAAAGGGCCACGTTTGAAGACCCTTGGTCTAGGCCAGGGGTAGGCAATCTTGGCTCTTTTATGACTGGTGGACTTCATCTCCCAGAATTCCTGAGCCAGCCACGCTGAGGGGAAAGGGAGAGGTTTCCAAGCTGAGCCGTGCTGGCTCAGGAATTCTGGGAGTTGAAGTCCACGAGTCATGAGGGGGCCATAGTTTCCCCATGCTGGCTCAGGAATTCTGGGAGTTGAAGTCCACGAGTCATGAGGGGGCCATAGTTCCCCCATGCTGGCTCAGGAATTCTGGGAGTTGAAGTCCACGAGTCATGAGGGGGCCATAGTTCCCCCATGCTGGCTCAGGAATTCTGGGAGTTGAAGTCCACGAGTCATAAAAGAGCCAAGGTTCCCCACCCCTGGTCTAGGCCAATCATCTCGTACCTTGCAAGTCAGCTCTGCCTCAGTGTGTCTGTCCACAGCCCTGTAGGTGCGTCCACCTTCTGTCGGCTCCAGAAGGATATAGTGGCCTATCTGAGTGATGGTCAAATCCTTTCCTGCGGAAGGAGGGCACTGAGGCAGGGGCTGGAGGCAGGGTGATGGCCCTGGCAGCCTGTCCAGACGCGGGTGCTTGGACGCCGGGCTGTCCTCTTTTGACCCTTTCTCACAGCACAGTTTCCTTTTAGGCACGTGGGCCTCTGCCCGAGGCTTTGGCATCCACCGACTCATCTGGAAAAAACACAAGGGAGAGGAAAGGGTTAAGGCATTTTAAGTCAGAAAAGTCATGGCTGGCAAGGATCCAGTTCCCTTTCCGAGTTCTGTGTCTGGTCCTTAGATTGTAATTGGAACTTGGTTGTTTTCTTGCAGACGTTTCATGACCCAACTAGGTTACAACATCAGTGCAGGAGGGACTGGGGTTTGCAGAGAGGAGGAGGAGGACTGTGGGGTCCTTGGTGCTCTCTGAGCTTGTTTGTTTTCTTGCAGGCATTTCATGACCCAACTAGGGAACATCGTCAGTGCTAGAAGGGAGTGGGGATGCGGAGATGATGATGATGAGGAGGAGGAGGAGGAGGAGAATTGTGGGATCCTTGATGCTCTCTGGTCTTTTTGTTTTCTTACAGACATTTCATGACCCAACTAGGGAACATCATCAGTGCTACAAGGGAGTGGGNGAGGAGGAGGAGGAGGAATGGAGGTGGAAGAGAATTTTGGGATCCTTGGTGCTCTCTGAGCTTTTTGTTTTCTTACAGACATTTCATGACCCAACTAGGGAACATCATCAGTGCTACAAGGGAATGGGAATTGCAGAGAGGAGGAGGAGGAGAGAGGAGGAGGAGGAGGAGAGAGGAGGAGGAGGACGACGACGACGACGACTGTGGAACCCTTGATGCTCTCTGAACTGGGTGGTTTTCTTGCAGACGTTTCATGACCCAACTAGGGAACATCATCACTGCTAGAAGGGAGGAGGAGGAGGAGGGGGAGGGGGAGGGGGCTGTGTGCAGAGTCGTGCAATACCTGGGAAATTTCTGCAACGGGGTTGTCAGCATTGCAGCCATAGCGGCTGATGTAAAGACAGAGCAAGTTGCTTGTTGCATTGACTCTGGAGACTTGGGCAGCTCGCTTGCCTCCGATCCCAGTCTGGATTTCCCGAACAATAGCTGCATTCTTTCTAACTCAACAAGGGAAAACGCTCTGCAGAGCACGCTTAAAAGATGCCGCTTTCCCCCTTTTTGCTACAATATCCTCTGGGCCGCCCCCCCATTGGTGGAGGGTGAAGCATACGTGTGTGAACAGCGTAATAGAACAACAGATTTGGAAGGGACCTTGGAGGTCTTCTAGTCCGACCCCCTGCTCAAGCAGGAAAACCCTCTACTACCATTTCAGACAATCTCTTCTTCAAAGCCTCCCGTGTTGGAGCATCCACAACATCTGGAAGCAAGCAGTTCCACTGGTTAATCGTTCCAACTGTCAGGGAATTTCGTCACAGTTCCAGATTGCTTCTCTCCTTGATTGGTTTCCATCCGTTGCTCTTTCTCCTGCCTTCATTGCCCAAACTAGGTAACATTCCCGGTGCTAGTCCTACCTAGTTTGTTTCTTAACTTGGTTACTGAAAGATCTGCAAGAAAACAACCCACTCAGAGAGCGCGAAGGTGCCCTTCCGGGTTTCCCATCCAAAGGAACAGCTCTGCCAGGATGCCACTGAGGCCAACTCAGGTGTCTCATTCTCCTTCCTCGCACGCAGGTGAGTGAGTCATCCAGGACATGTTGCAAGAAGCTGGCAAGGCACCATATCTTTGCTCACCCGTGGCATGTTCCTTCTGTATCGTTCCAATTTTAGTATAGGTGCTGCCGAAGCGAGCACGCATGTTCCTTCTCAGGCCCTCAGGCGATCGCCAACACAAAAAACCCACCAGCATTGGCACACACAACACTGCCCCCCTGCCTTGTTTTTCCGCAGAAGCTCCCTGCACATCAGCAGTGACGAACCTAAATAAGTCCTCGACTTACAACCGTTCGTTTAGTGACTTTTTGAAAATACAACGGCACTGGGGGGGGAAAAAAAAAGACTTCTTATGACCGTTTCCCACACTTGTGACCACTGCAGCACCCCCATGATCAGCATCCCCATGATAGGTACGAGACTGAACTTTGATCAGCTTGGCAACCGTCTCGTATTTGTGACGGTCGCGTCCCGGGGTTCCCGTGATCCGCTTTTGCGACCTTCTGACGAGCAAATGGTATATAGGGTTTCCTGCCTGAGCAGGGGGTTGGACTAGATGACCTTCAAGGTCCCTTCCAACATTATTATTATTATTATCATTATCATTATCATTATCATTATGGATCATCGCACAGTCAGCCAGATGTTCAGACTGGATTTGGCATTTTGTCTACCTATCGAGTCCTTACCCAGGACCTGGGATAGGCAGATTATTATTATTATTATTATTATTATTATTATTATTATTATTATTATTATTATTATTATTATTATTATTATTATTATTATTATTATTATTATTATTATTATTATTACTAAAGTCCACAGGGGAAGCCAGATTCACTTAACAACTGTGTTGCTAACTTGACATTGGCAGGGATCGACTTAACCACCAGGTTCCAAAGTGG